TTTGATATACTGAAGTTTAAATGTATGTTCCTGCAAATAAATTTTATTTTATTTGATTAGGCATACATGTACATCTTTGCCTGGTCAGATGCGGATCCAGGACTATGGAAAAGGGGGCCCTGCATCTAGACACCATAAGGTGTGGGAATAACGTCTTAATACATTTTTGTAAGATAGAGGCATTGCATTAATTATATAAGTAGCTCCAACAGCATAGGCGGATCCAGGAGGGCCTGGGCCCCCCTTTTGTGGAAAAAATTTAGTTGATTATATAGGGAATCACTGAAGCATGACTGGAGCGGGCCCCCTCTTAGGTCAGTCAGTGGGCCCCCTTACAAAAAGTTCTGGATCCGCCACTGTACAGGGGGATAACATGTCACCCCCTAACTGATTTCTCATGTGTTATAAACATCTTTATTATACAACACTGCCAACATAATAATTATAATATATATATAAATTAGGTGTTTAATGGCATTAAATACTATAGTATAGCATATTCCATTTATTGAAGCCTTACTACCACTGCATGCTTAAAGTTATACTAACCTTTGTATGCAGCAGTAATATTTCCAATGTGCGAGAGTTTTTCCATCTGGTCCTGCATCAGAGCTACTAAGGGACAACAGACTAAAACTTTTCAGTCAGAACTGTTTTCAATAACCTCCCGGACAACTGGAAGGTACAGTTGAAACGGCAGTGACTTGTCAAAACCAGTCTGTAGTACAGCCACGCACTTCTTCTTGTTAACTTAACACTCTAAAATTTCCTTTTGCTCCTTCTTTATATCATTTATACCAAATTTTGGCAAAACTTTTGTCAAAACGTTGTCCAAACTGGGCGCATCCATGTTTTTTAACGATCCGATAATGGTATACAAGCCCGTCGCTGATTGGTTAATCGAAATTGATTTTCTGCACGCTGATTGGTCGGTCAAAGTTCACCAAATTTGACCCTAGACATGAACCTCAAGCGGCTGTTGTTAGATCTCCCACGCGCGACATATAAACAACGAGGAGCAAGTGAGGAGATTTAATTTTAATTAGATTGTAGTGCAAATGTACATTTTTTGTTCATAAATTTTTTTTTTTGTTGTAGAATAATATTCGAGTTACTGAATTTTGTAAACCAAATTTGACTGAAACGGTCATTTTTATCTGAACAGTTCTTACAAGACTGAACATTAAATTAATAAGTCATTTTCAGGCTTTCAGTCGATTTTCATACTTTTACACTGTGTTCATTTCAGTGCTATTCAAATAGTTCACTTACTGTCAATTAAGATCTGATCGTCTATATACAGACTTTTCAGTAGCTGTTATTTACCTGTACACAACAACAACAAACTTAATTGTCAGAAAAGCTATATATAACAGTATTCAATTTATAAGAGGAAAATATCTGAAAATTAACTTAAACTCTTGAAAATACTTTACGTTTTAAGTTTCAGGATTTTCAGATGTTGTCGGGATCACATTGATCGTTTAAGCCTAAAATTTATTTACTAGTGGACGTGAGCCCCTACGGGTATTCACGGAAAAAACATGTTTAACACGTCGACACTCTGTACGTGTTTGTCCCACATCTGGAGCCTGCAATTCAGTGGTTGTCATTTGTTACTGTATATCATATTTGTTTTTCGTTTATTGTTTTGTACATAAATAAAGGCTGTTAGTTTTCTCGTTTAAATTGTTTTAAATTTGTCATATCCGGGCCTTTTATAGCGTGCGGTGCAGTATGGGTTTTGTTCATTGTTGAAAGCAGTACGATGACCTACAGTTGCTACTTTCAACGTCATGTGTCTGGTGGTGTCTTGTCTCATTGGCGATCATACCTCATGATAAGCTCACCTGGCCCAAAAGCCAGGTGAGCTTATGCCATCACTTGGCGTCCGTCGTATTACGTCGTCTGTCGTCTTCTGTCGTCTGTCGTCGTCTGTCGTCGGTCGTCATCGTCGTCGTCGTAAACAATTTCAAGAATCTTCTCCTCTGAAACTACCTTTAAACTTTAACTGAATGTTCCTTAGGGTATCTAGTTTTTAAATTGTATCCGATGTGTTGATCCATCAACAAATATGGCCGCCATGGCTAAAAAAAGAACATAGGGGTCGAATGCAGTGTTTGGCTTATATCTCATTAAGAGCAAATCTGAAAGGGGTAAACATGTTCAATAGGTCAAGATCTATCAGCCCTGAAATTTTCAGACGAACCGAACGACCCATTGTTGGGTTGCTGCCACTAAATTGATAATTTAGGGAAATTTGCAGTTTTTGGTTATTATCTTGAATATTGTTGAAGATAACGATAAACTGTAAACAGCAAAAATGTTCAGCAAAGTAAGATCTACAAAAAAGTTAAATAACCAATATTATCAATTGACTCCTTAAGGAGTTATTTTCCTTTAAAGACAATTTTACCCAATTTGTTCATCATGTTTGCTAACATTTAAAAATCTTCTCCTCTGAAACAACTGGGCCTAATACTTCTAACCTTTAACTGAATGGTTCTTAGGATAACTGGTTTATAAATTGTGTACGAAGTTTTGATCCATTAACAAACATGGCTGCCATGGCTAAAAATAGAACATAGGGGTCAAATGCAGTTTTTGGCTTATATCGCAAAAACTATAGCAGTTAGTGCAAAAGTGAAAAAGAGTTAAAGTGATGAATAAGTCAAGATCTATCTGCTCTGAAATTTTCAGACCAATTAGACCACCGATGGTAGGGTTACTGTCCGAAATAGATTATTTTTATGAAATTTTACTTTTTTTGGTTATTATCTTTGATATCATATAATAGATAGAGAGAAAGTGTAAATGGCAAAAATGTTCAGCAAAGTAGGATCTACAAATAAGTCAAATGATCAAAATAGTCAATTGACTCCTTAAGGAGTTATTGCCCTTGAAACGATATATTTGGTTTACAGTTTGATTCAGAAGAAACACCGACATAGCTAGATAATACAATTAATTATCTAATTACTACCACAATTTGATATTAATAAGTATTGTAATTTTCATTGTTATTATAAATGTAATGTCAGTATTACAAATCTAATCTTGAATCAATCCTAATCCTATCTTATTTTTGGGAAATATTTTTACAAATTCAAATGTGACGTCACTTTGTGTGTTTTTTTTAGAATTTCAAATGTGACGTCACTTTGTGCGTTGAGGCTTTGGCTAACTCGGCTGTGTATTTTTATGTGTTGGATTAAGTTGTTTTATGTAATGTATCCGTTTTTATTCTGTAGTTAGTCCCCACTTCGGTTTTATCATGTATGTCTATTATTTAGTCATTTTATAAAATTTACTGTTCGCAAAATTATACTTTTGTTAGATATTAATCGTGTGTTTCTTTGTCTTATAGGTTTTCCCATTAATTTGTATTGTGGTCCTGTCATGTGATGTTGTCGTTTTGGTGTTGTGTTTGACGTTGCCATAAAAGCGGGAGGTTTGGCATGCCACAAAACCAGGTTCAACCCACCATTTTTTTTCGTAAAATGTCCTGTACCAAGTCAGGAAAATGGCCATTGTTATATAATAGTTCGTTTCTGTGTGTGTTACATTTTAATGTTGTGTTTTTGTTGTGTCGTTGTTCTCCGCTTATATTTGATGCGTTTCCCTCAGTTTTAGTTTGTAACCCGGATTTGTTTTTATCTCTATCGATTTATGAGTTTCGAACAGCGGTATACTACTGTTGCCTTTATTTATTTCTTACATTTTCATGGGTCTATTACTTTTTCAAAAATCTTCTTCTCTGAAACTACTGGGCCAAATACTTCCAAACTTAAATGAATGTTCCTTAGGGTATCTAGTTTATAAATTGTCTACGAAGTTTTGATCCATCAACAAACATGGCCGCCATGGTTAAAAAAAGAACATAGGGGACAAAAGCAGTTTTTGGCTTATATCTCAAGAACTACAGCAGTTAGATAAAAAAAGAACGAGAGTTAAAGTGATAAATGGGTCATGATCTATCTGTTATGAAAATTTCAGAACAGTTCGACAACCCATTGTTGGGTTACTGTTGAAAATAGGTTATTTTTATTAAATTTTACTGTTTTTGGTTATTTTCTTTAATATTATAATAGATAGAGAAAGAATAAATGGCAATACATGTTCAGCTAAGTAAGATCTACAAATAAGTCAACATGATCAAAATAGTCAATTAACCTCTAAAGGAGTTATTGCTTTTAAAACGTTTTTTTTTTTACATTTTTTGTGAAAATCTAATTACTTTTTCAATAATCTTCTTCTCTGAAACTACTGGGCCAAATACTTAAAAACTTCATTGACTGGTCCTTATGGTAACTAATGCTATATATTGTATTCAGGGATTTGATCCATTCAAAAACATGGCGGCAGTTTTTAAAAATAGAACATAGGGGTCAAATGCCGTTTTTGGCTTTCATCTAAAAAACTAAAGCAGTAAGAGCAAAACTGACATAGGTGAAAGTGTTAAGCAGGTTTAGATCTACCTATCAAGCAATCTTCAGACCAATAGGACAACTTATTGTTGGGTTACTGTCCAGAAATAGTTAATTTTCAGGAAATTTTACAGTTTTGGGTTATGTGTTATCTTTAATATTATTGTTCAGCAAAGTAAGATCTACAAATAAGTCAAATGCCTGAAACTGAAATTACAGGTGAGCGATATCAGGCTCTCATGAACCTCATGTCTTTATTTTTATATTTCTATTTCATAATCAAAAAGATGAGTAAAACCATTCATTTAAGTGTCCATTAGATTTTAGATTTTGAAATTATAATGCAATCAATATTAAAATGCTCCAAAAAGTTAGACTAGCAGTACAAGTGCCACGGAAGCGTTTATAAATATATGGAATCAAAGAGGAGTTTTAACCATGTAACAATTTAAAAACTATGAGGACAGGAATATTTCATAAACTTCTATTAAAAAGTAAAGAAAAACCTAATCACAAAATGTTAACAGTTATGATAATAATTATTGTGAAAATAATGCAAAACAATGTGCTTACCATTGTGCAGTTGGTCATACAGTTTTTCAATCTGTGACTGTTAAATAATATTTTAGTATTTATATGATAATTTGATCTTACCCTTATTAACAGAACAAAGCAGTCGACATTGTCTCCTAGGTAATAATATATTTATTTGTAAAGCTTTATGCTTTGACATAAAGTTCAATAAGTACTGTATCATTTGTTTAACAAATCTTGACATAATTTCAATTTCCGGCTCACGATAAGATACCCTTGCATTGTTGCATAAATGTTTAACATAGGAGGACGTGAAATAAATGATATGTTTTTCATTTTCCTTGAGCTCAGATTGCACACCAAATACGGAATATTTGTGAAACTAATGTGATTAGATAGAAGTACGTTGGTAGCACTGTCCTAACACAAACAAAACAATATCAATTATTAAAGCTAATGTATACTATTTTATTATCAATTTGTATTTAATCAGAATGTTGAACTGTTGTATTATTGTTGTCGTTGGATTGTCCTTATATGTTTGCGCTGACATTTTCAACGTTGAATGCTAAATGTTATAAATACCTGTATCTAAATATAACAACGTGTAATTGTTTTGAAATATTTCATACCATCTCCATTATCCGCCGCTCTTTCGAGACAGCAGTGAACCGCTTAAGACATCCCAATATGGCATACGCCAATCCTGAAATCATATGTAATAGTGCGGCTACGGTTGTCGGCCACTCAAACAACCAGTTCAACACCAACAACACAGCTCAGAAAAAGCTCAAAATGTGTTAAAGATGATGAATTTTAATTTTAGTTTTTTACATTGTTAATATTTTATAATGCTATGACATGCACGATTTTTTGAAAATTTTAAATCTAATTGAAAATATCATTGGTTTGATGGGAAGAATAGCAAAATATATTCAGTATCGGGAACACATTTATTGCTTGCTATTTCATTTTGGACAAGTTGCAGAGTGGGCATCTCATTCTTTATCTAATGATTATGAAAATAACAAATTTGATTTGCAAAAAAAAAAAAAAAAAAAATAACCATGTTACCTAGTTTATAAATGAACCAATCTTATTCTAGATTCGAATATCTTGAATTGATCAGTTAAACAGGTGACAATCAGGTATAATTTAAAAGATTGACAAGTTGTGCAATATTTTCTGAAAAAATACTATCCCTAAATTTATAATCTCGATATAAATTAAGGTTATTTTCATTTTGTTCACTACAGTACTATTCATATTGAGATTTTCATGAATAAGAAAACAATTCATTTTAACGTTTTGGATTTTGGATTTTAACGTTTCATCACATGACCAAAAAAAATGCTAAAAACACACTGACTGATGAGAGTATCAAATTCAAATAAGAAACAATTTTAAGTCAAATGAACATAAAATAATCTAATTTTATTTTAAATTTTAAGGGGGCTCGCGGGTTTAAATTTTCGCGCCTACTGCGCAGGATGTTGCGCAATGATATCTTAAGTCATACCTGTTGACGTAATTGGCAATAACAATTAATTTTGATTATTATAAATAATCTATTTTATTTGAATATATTAACAAAAGTGTTCTAATTGAAAACTGTAATTTTAAAATTTTATAACATTTATTATTGCAATTTTCATTGTTGCAAATGCACTTCCGTTTTGGGGAAAATGGCATGTTTTTGCCGGTGAGAGGAGACAAAGACAAGATAATTCATAATAATCGAACACGTGGGCTGCTTTTCATGAATACTGAAACGCAGATCGAAAATGATAGAACACGATCTTTATTTTAGTAGCTTATGAAGCAGTTTTACTTGTTTTACATTAGAAAAGGACCAGAAAATGTGCGTAAAATGTAGCTAATATTTTGTAAACAAGGGAAATATACTGTAATGTAAGTATTTCTTCTGTAAGTTTCTAGCGATCATTCATTTATTTTATGATTATTCGCCGGATATTTTACATCGTCTGGAAATGAGCACAAAAGTGATTCATGACCATAAAATCATTTGAAAGCGTAAAATTACCGGAAATGATTTTCAGCTAAAAATAAGTGTGTATTATAAATTATATAAAATTGAGAATGGAAACGGGAAATGTGTCAAGACAATAACCAGACCAAATAGCAGAAAACAGCCCAAGGCCACGAATGGGTCTTCAACAGAGCGAGAAAATCCCGCACCCAGAAGGATCCGGCAAGCCCCTAAACAATAATGTATACTAGTTCAGCGAAAACGGACGTCACACTTAACTCCGAAACATATAAATGAACCAAAATTTAAAACAAACATACAAGACTAGCAAAGGCCAGAGGTTCCTGACTTGGGACAGGCACAAAAAAATTTGCGGCGGGGTAAAACATGTTTTGTGAGATCTTAACCCTCCCCTATACCTCTAGCCAATATGGAATAAGAAAACACACAGTAATACACACAGTAAAATACATGTAGTTCATGGTACAATGTACTTGTGATGAATATTTTGACAAATTATTTACAGACCTTAGGGTCCAGGTGTGTTGACTACATCACCATTCATTTGCGGACCTTAGAGTCAAGCCTGGCAGAGGTTTTGACTACATCAGACATTATAAGAAATGACCAATTGATTTTCGCAAACATAATGTTTATTCACTCTGTTGTAAGTCTAGTTTATTTTCAAGAATATGAGTCTTTTTGCTCTGATTCCTGTTGTCAAATACTCGTTTTCCTCCTAGGTATTTCTCACTTATTCCTGTTTGTACTGCTACTACTGGGTAATCTCGCTGGGATTTTTTTTTAATAAAACTTAAGAAATTGGTAAAGAATACATGATAACATGAACTCTTTATTTATGTACATTTTTTGGTTATGCACTGTTTAACAGGAAAAACTTTGATTTCCAATCCCCAAAAAACTAATAACTTTGCTAGGCTGTATATATTCAATTATTGGGGAGTAATATGAGCCTGTGCCTGAAAAAAGAGATTTTCAAATGAAGGTGGCTTTACATACAAATGTATTTTTTTCTACCAATTTAAAATTTTAAACCAACGGTGACCTATATATTTCAGCTGAACATGTAAAACTATGCTTGTGCTTGTTGTAAAACCAATTTAAACAAAATCGTATATAATTTGTATCCGTTATTAAAATCTAAGTATCTAACAGCAAAAAAACCTCCTTATATCGTTGGCCTATAAAACGCTTACATGAACGGTGACCCCCTATTTTTTTTTCATTATTTCGATCCACTTTCTTTAATGGATACAATATTAAGTTTTCAGGAATTTCTTATATAAAACGTTTATAGCCTCGAGCCTCCTTAAATCTACTGAGTTTATCATGCTATACAGTTTTGTTATAGAATAAAAGGAGATATTTGCTAAGTCAACAAACCAGAGATACAATAAATTAAAAAAATATTCAGAGAGGACGATAGGAATATTTTACAGCGGGTTAAGATATGGGTTAGTGTTGCTCCATGACCCTTGCTTGTATCTTAATCTTTTTTATAGAGGTTTCCGTCCGTCCTGTTTATCTGTTAGATGTGAACGACATGATAATAATGAGAATTTAAACAAGGCATTAGAAGAAAAACACCTATCATATGAGTTCAGTGCACATTATACTTGTTTCTAGATTAATTGAAAATCAAACTTTTATTAATCAATCAACCATTGCGATGCTCGAGTCGTAATATTATGGCCTCTTCCCAAATACCCTTTTTTGGCTCTATTGGCTCTCCATACTTTTAGAGGTCAACCGTATGATATATATTTCGAACTTGTTACATGTTCCTTCGACCCAAGACTATTATTGTCATGTTTCTCATGTTTATGGTGCAATTAGTTACCCAAATACGAACTTTGAAAATTGAAATTTAATAAAAAAGGTTTTTTTTTCTGGAGTGGTGGGCTTATAATATATTAATATAAATATTTGAAAGGAATTATCAAAGATCTGCCACAACCATCGAACTCTCCAACAGGACATTTACAAAAGGTTAAATCTCGGTATTTCGTATTCGGTATGAATAAAATACAACAGGAAATGCGACACAACTAACCAAAACACATCTTTGTATATCTAGTTGTCGACAAACAGTCTTAGATTCAATCTTTAGGCTCATAGTCAACCGTATTCGGAACAGCTTTTACAGGAATAAAGTTCTGCCATTAACATCAAACTGTTTAACAGGACATTTACCAAAATCTCGGTATTTTCTATTCTGAAAAATAGCCCAACATATTTATACTTGCAGTGTTTTATTTCGATCAAACATTTTTAGGATTGATACTATCTGCGACAGGGTTTAAGTTTTGTCCTCTCATAAATCTTGAAAAGAAGTTAAAACTTAGGATGACAAGCGTTCAATGTTCAAAACTTTGAAAAAATAAAGAAGAGTTTACCTGCATTAATATTGCTAGGTATGATGATGTAAATGATTTGCCTCTTAACATACCGCATTATAATACGTATACGGTTTCCCATCTGTAAAACATGGCTTCGCCTTGAATTGGTCTGTATTGCATATGACTATAAAAACACAACAGATACCAACAAGTCAAAATTTTAAGAAATGACAGATGTCAACATGGCGTAACGAAAAAAGAGATACAGACAAACAATTGTCCACTCGTTATTACACGGAAAATTACTGATTTAAAGCTAATATTGAAAGTTGTCAGAAATAGTATAATACGTGCCGATCTGCATAATTCCATTATTGACTTGTAAAGGTAACAATGAATACTTTTTTCAGCTGTTTTTATATTTGCATTTGATACAAATAATGAAACCAAGATTGAAGAAAATGCGCCCAGTTTTATTATAGGAATCAATTGTAAATAATTAAACAATGATAAATGTTTTCTTTCAGATTTAGTACATGTAGAAAAAGTCTTGAGTACAATGTCATTTATAAATATTGCAATTGCACCAAATATATCAAACAATGACATTTCCTTTTTTCATGTATCGTCCTACACGATACACTTTAGGAATTTTACAGTTATCCAAAGCAATATATTAAATAACACTAATGTTATATTTACAAATGTAAATC